TTTTTTTTTTTTTTTTTTTTTCATTATGAAACCATGTTTAAGTTATTTCAATCTTTTGGGGGATTTCAATGGCTAAGCTTTAATAATTTGAGGTTTTATGTTGTTCAGTTTAATCTTCTTTAAAAGGTAATCCCAGGGGCGCCTGGGTGGCTTGGTCTGTTAAAGCATCCGACCTCAGCTCAGGGCAGATCTTGCAATTCGTGGGTTCGAGCCCCGCATCGGGCTCTGTGCTGACAGCTCGGAGCCTGGAGCCTGCTTCGGATTCTGTGTCTTCCTCTCTCTCTCTGCCCCTCCCCTGCTTGCACTCGGTCTCTGTCTCTCAAAAATAAATAAAAGAATTTTTTAAAAAAGGTAATCCCAAATTAGAAACACCAACAACAAAGCAAGAAGCGACAGCTGTTCTGTCAGTTAGTATTTGATGGTCTTTCTTCTTCTGAGGCCTTGATTGGTCATACGAACCAGGGATCTTACACACTCAAGGCCGTCTGAAGACCAGACAGCCATGGGGAGCTATGGAAGATTTTGAGAAAGAATCAGCCTATCAGACCCATCTGGCAAGGGAGCCATCATTTGCTATGTGGCAAACTACCCCAAAACTTCATGGCTTAAAGCAAGGAACCGTGTTATCTTTAATGAATCTATAACCTGGGCCACCTGGGCTCAGCAGGGTGATACTTTGGATACATGCAAGTTTTGAATGGGGCTGAGCACATCTGAAAGCTCGGTTGGGTCAGAACATCCAAAATGACCCATTCACGTGGCTGGACATTGACACGGTCTGTTGGCTGGGGCTCCGCGGAGGCTCTTAATCACAGAACTTCAGCTCTCCTCCATGTATCTTGGGCATCTCCTAACCGGGCAGCTGGCCTCTCAGAGCATCCCCAAAGCAAACGTTCTAAGAGGGAGAGAGTAGACACTTCCAACCCTCCTAAGGTGTAGGCTTGGAAATCCCAGGATATCTCTTCCACCATGTTGTACTGGCAGAAAGAGTCACAAGGTCCATCCCAGATTCGAGGGGAGGGGACAAACCAGGTCTAACACTTCCTGTGAGCGGTTGCATATGCCTACAGGGAGGGGAGAGATATTTGGGACCATTTGTAGACACTGGCCACCACGCTGGATCCTTTGGTCCTGCAGCTGGAGCTCTGCCCTTCACCCTGCACCTGCTGAGGGACGTGAGGAACCAGGGTGGCCCTGCAGACTGGGGCAGGAAGCGCACTGAGAGGGTCTGTGCATGCACAGAGACTTCCCTCCTTCTGAGCACCCCTGCACGGCTCCCCTCCATGTGGCCAGGCAGAAGTGAGAGTGTGGGTGGGCAGAGGTGCGGGAGCAAATCTGGTGGGTCCCATCTCAGTGCATCGGCAGGAATTGGCATGAACCTAGCAGCTGCTTGGAGGGTCCTCCACTCTTCCGAGTGCTTATTTCTTTTCTTTTTTTAAAATTTTTAATGTTTATCTATTTTTGAGAGACAGATATAGTAGGGGGAGAGAGAGAGAGAGAGGGAGTGAGGGAGGGGCGGGAAGAGACAGAGACACAGAATCGGAAGCAGGCTCCAGGCTCTGAGCTGTCAGCACAGAGCCCGACGCGGGGCTCGAACCCACGGACTGTGAGATCATGACCTGAGCCGAAGTCGGAACTCAACCGACAGAGCCATCTAAGCGCCCCCAAGCATCCATCTCTTAGGGAGTTTCACCTTCAAGGGATCTTTGGGAAGACTGCCCAGTGGTGGTCACATTGGGAGTGAGCGTCGTCTCTTCTGTGGGACCACTCCCTTCTCACTTGCTTTATCTGGAAGGAGAGTTAACTGGACGCCAGGAGGCTCCTAAAATGGTGACCCAAGAACCCGAAGACATGAAGGACACGTTTGTGATGTGGAATCCTATTTTAGCCAAGTCATTTGTGAGAATTCTGACACCCTTCTGATATCATATGTCCAGAGGCAAGCATGACCAGCCCTGCTAACTGCACCGGGCGGCTGTGAGCCTCCAATGAACTTGTGTGTTTGACAGTGATAAACTGGTCCCACTGTGCCCCTGTTTAGGAGCTATAGCCATGGAATATGGGGTGCATAGGAGAAAGAAAAATCCTGCACTGACGGGCAGATTCCAAAGTGACATCAGGATAGCCAGCATGCTAGACTTTTAGCTTCCATAAGAAAATATAAAAACTTCCCCCCCCCCCCACCCCAGGGCAACATGTTATAATTCCTTTACAATGTCAGCTCCTTTCCCAGTACCAGACCCCCCTTACCAGCCACTAGGGGTAAGAGAAATGTTCTCAACAGAGATGGGAGAGTCAGCCTGCCCTGTGACCTTCACTCTTCAGTTGGAAATGTGTCCTTTGCTTGTGAGTCCTGGCTTTTTACGAGGTTCCTCCCATAAACACTCAAGTGCTTGGGTCCTGCACACGTATGGAGGTCCAGTATTTCAGGCACACAGTCCAGGCCCCCTAGACCCTCATGTCATGGTGGGCGGGAAGCCGTGGCATGGAGCTCAGCTCGGGTGGTTATCACATGAGGAAGCATAGGAGTCAGAAAATGCTGGGAGACCAACATGAGCTCGAGTAGCCTTGATTCCAGACCTCTGGCAGTTGAGCAGTGAATCCAGAAAAATTTTCCAATATCAAGTCAGTATCCCTGTACTGAGAATTCCCCAACAGAGATGTTCTGGAAAGGGAAGTGCTGTGTGAAGGTGGCCTATTGTTTTTACTGGGACCCTTGTGTCCACCATTCTTTTTTTCCTTTAATGTTTACTTATTTATTTTGAGAGGGGGAGGAACAGAGAGATAGGGAGAGAGAGAGAATCCCAAGCAGGCTCTGCACTGTCAGCGCAGAGCCCGAGGCAGGGCTCGAACCCATGAACCGTGAGACCATGACCTAAGCCGAAGTCAAGACTCAGATGCTTAACCAACGGAGCCACCCAGGGGCCCCCACAATTCTTTACAAATGACTAGGGAGACAACAGAAAGGAAACTGTCCTGTCCTATTTTAGAAATCGTCCGACATCGTACAAGGCAAGACTCCTGTAGGAGTAAGTTACAGAAATCCAACTCATTCATTCATTCACTCATTCATTCATTCACGTATTCCTTTTATGGATATGATTGAGCTCCTCTCATGTGCCAGACATTTGTTTCTGGTGCTGGGGATCTGGCCGTGAAAAGATGTGAGGCTTGCTGGGGCAGGGGCAGGGAAGGACAGATAATAGCCAAGTTGACTGGCAAGTAACAATATAATTCTCGGGCCACAAAGAATATAAACGAGAGAGCCCACAGCTCTGGTGATATTTGAGCTAAGACCTGGATTTTGAGAAGCCAGTTAGGCAGAGAGTTGAGAGAAGAAGGGTCCAGAAGACAGAAAGTGTGAAAGGACCTCAGTAAGGAATGAGTCATGCTAGTCAGTCTCCAATATGGCCCCCAAGGATCGTCTCCTCCTGGTGCTCACGGCCCCGCAGAGTCCCCGTTGACCTGTGTGACCGTATTGTGGACATGAAGTTGTGTGTGGCTTTGAAGGCCACATCATGAAAATGCTGGGAGCAGGGGAAGCTGGGGGGAGGGGAAGTTAGCAGGACTGGTTGTAGTTTCCATTTTGCTCCCTTGGATCAACCCCCACTCTGGGGGAAGCCAGCCCCCGTGTCATGAGGACATTCAAGCAGCTCTGTGGGGGAGACGGAGGCCTCCTACCACCCACCGGCACCAACGTGCAGGCGTGTGAGCCATCTTGGAAGCAAGTCAAGCCTTCAGATGACTAAGGCTCCATCCAACATCTTGACCGTAACTTGAACGGTGACCCTGAGCCAAAATACCCAGCTTAGCCACTGCCAGATTCTTGGCCCATAGTAAGTATGTGAGGCGATAAATCTTTACTGTTTTGATCCACCAAGTTATATGGCAACAGGTAACTAATACATTAGCTTGAGATGCTGGAGGGAACCAGAAGGCCGGTGTGGCTGGAAAACAGTGGTTAAGGGTAAACAGGGCACAAAGATCAAGTCAGCGACACAGACACCGAGCCCAGGTCGCCTTTAGTCCCTTCTGTGGTGAGGAGATACTATTTTATCTAAGCGTGATGAGAAATTACTGGCATGAAATGATCGATCTTTTCTTTATTTTTTAATTTTTTTTTTACATTTATTATTTTTGAGAGACAGAGGACTAGTCAGGGAGGGATAGAGAGAGAGGGAGACACAGAATCCCAAGCAGGCTCCAGGCTCCGAGCTGTCAGCCCAGAGCCCGACGCGGGGCTCGAACCCACAAACGTTGAGATCACGACCTGAGCCGAAGTTGGACGCCCAACCCACTGAGCCACCCAGGCGCCCCGACCTACCTTTCGAAAACAAATGTTGTGACAAGAGAAGGGGATATTTCTCATCTCACATAAGTGACAGGTTCAGCATCAGGCATAGCTGGATCCAGGTACTCCAACAAAAATTGTAAATCTTACCATCTCCAGCCTCTGCTTGTCTCTCTGTTGGCATCATCCTTGGACAGGCCCCCTCCATGCAGCTGGGTAGATACCCATGAGCATCTCCAGGCTTCCTTGGACAGGATACAGTTGGCAAACACAGGGAAGAGAGTTGAACCCTTTTTTCCGTTCCCAGTGAAAAGAACTCAGTCGGCCCTGTTTGGGCCCTGTGCCCATTTGGGCTGGTTTATTGTGGTGATGACCATCCCGGAACGTGGGGACCGTGACTGGCAGCCTTCCCAGAAGCCCGGGGGATAGGGGAGGGTGAGCTCCCAAAAGGAAAGAATGAAATTCAGGCCCAAAACAGTTAGCCAAGGCTCACTGCGGGCAAGTAGACGTGGGACGGCGGTCTTGTACAATATTTGTACAACTGGATGAAGAATATAGGGTCTTTGGGATTCCATCGTCATTCACCTGTAAGCATCTAAGTGAACATCTGGGCTGATGTGGGGGGGGGTGGGGGTCAAAGTGAGAAGAGACCCCCACGAAATCCAGGTTAACATAACCCGGATGACGACCTCTGCTTAGTGCTAGCATTGTAATTGTCTGCCTCTTCTGGACGCTACCAGGACTGGCGGGCCCTTGGGCTTTCCAGGGCACTCTCGGACACATTTGACCGAGTCAAACCTCTCACCGCCTCCTCCTTTGTTACAGGGATTGCTCGTGGCTTTGCAGTACTGCTTTGCCAATGGAGAGGTACGTCTCCGGAGCGGCCAGCCAGGTTCCGGTGAGGCCGGGGTTGGCCTCCTGCTGTCCCCGCTGGAGGTGGCTGGGCGTGTGATGGTGCCGTGGGGCGGGGTGGGTGCAGTGCCGGGCACGTGTTGGGACAAATTTGTACCCTGAGCACCCAGCAGGGGGAGCAGGAGGCAGCTGAGACCAGTGGGAAAAGGTGTTGGGATGAGTGAAAAGCTCAGAACCCAACCCTGAGTCAGTCAGGGCACCGTAGCTATTTGAGCCTCAGTTTTCTCATCTGTACATTGGGAATAATATCTGTCCCTGCCCTATAGTATTGCCCTGGGCTTGCTGAGCTCCTGGTAAAAGCCCCACACCTGGTAACTATGATGGCTTTTCTTATTAATATTATTGCAAGCATTGGAAAGGGGCTCGAAAGGAGGAGGGCAGGGGCCAGACGGTTCTCTCTCGGCTTTAGGAGTTGGTGGAATTTCCAGGCCCCCTTTCACCCACTAGAATGGGAGCTTCTCGACAGCAAAACCCGCTTCCCCCTCCCTGTTCATTGCTGCTGCCTCTGTCTTCGCGAGGGGGCACCTTGCCCGCCAGGCACGTATCCTGTGCTGCCTTGACACAGTCCTTTCCAGAACACCGTATCTCAAAGTTCTGCCCCCTCGCCCCACTGTCCTGCTCAGCGTCCTGTGCTTCTCAGTTGCTTCTGTCTGCTCATCATCCCCAGTTAGGAGGTAAGTGTCCCAGCGGCGACACGTAGGAGCCACGCAGTAAATAATCACCGAGAGGACACACACACACACACACACACACGGCAGAGTGACTCCAGGGCAGTGACCCGCCCTCTCTCCCCTCCACCCCCACCCTGGCAGGTGAAGGCTGAGCTGCGCAAGCACTGGGTCCGCTTCCTGCTCGCCCGCCACTCCGGCTGCAGGGCCTGGGTCCTGGAGAAGAACTTCCGATTCCTGGGGAAATGTCCCAAGAAGCTGTCCCAGGCAGACGGCAAGGGGACGCTCCAGAAGCCGCAGCCCTCGCCGGGCGGTGGGCAGCTCCTGCACCTGGCCATGCAGGGCCTGGGGGGGCTGGGCGCTCGGCCGCCGCGAGGACACGGGGCCTGGCCCCGGGGCAGCAGCCTGTCCGAGAGCAGCGAGGGAGACTTCACCCTGACCCACACCATGGAGGAGATTCTGGAAGAGAGCGAGATCTAGTCTGGAGGCCCTCCGCCCTGGCTCTGCTCCCCGAGAGCACGGTTCAGAGTCACCGGTCTTCCCCACGCACCCAGGCCACTTTGGCATCCAGTTCACGTCCCAGTCTTGCATGCTGGAGACCTTGAGGGGAGCGTGATCCGGAGGCTGAGCGGGGTCCGGGCCATTAGAGTCAGGCTCAGCGACTGAATGCATAAGTCAAGGGGCTGAAGGAAAACCACAGGAGGAACAGCCTAGAGAAAAGCGTGTTCATTCCCTGGAGTGTCGCTTTTAGGGAGTGCAAAATGCATGTGTACGTGGGCGGGTACGTTGCCAGGGGACCAGATAGAGCCACGCAACAGGGGGAGGGACGGTATGGTATTTATCAAGGCGGGTTGCCAGACTTAGGAGTTCAAATACATAACAGTTACATTTGCATTTCAGATACATGAATAATCGTATTGTAGCAGTATTCCCCTTTATCTGCAACTCAGATGAAGTCCTGCATCCTGTATTTTATTTGGCAACTCCATTGTCAAGGATGCTTTGCAACACGGGTGGGGACAAGGGTGAGGCAGGTGAGGAACGTGGTTTGGGTACAAGATTTCGGACAGTCCTGGGAAAAACACCTCGATTGTCACGATAAGTGATATTTTAACACGACATTAAAAAAATAAACTATAATCCGCAAGCTACAGCGGATGGGCCCTTTATAAACATAACTTTTTATCAGAACCAGGGCCAGGCTGAGAGTGAGGTCAGTTCCTACAAAGGCAGAGTCTGATCCTGACTTTATTGACTATTCTGCTCATCATGGACTTTTTAATATTCGTTTCTATTTTTAAACGGTTGCCCCAAAATATTATTTATCTTGGTGATTGAGGTTTTCTTGGCACTTTCCCCAGGACAGACGAGGGCATAACAAAGCAAAGGGGTATTTGTGGGGGGGTGGGGTCCAGATTTTCCAGAGTTCAGTCATTAAAATACACATCCTCCTAATTTCTCCTTGCTCTCAATGTTTCTGACTTTCCTCGTCCTAGAAAGCTGGGGTCCCAGCACAGCTGGACCAGAGTAGGCACTCAGCACACGTTCATCGGTGACACAGGACAGAAATGTCCTGGGATCATCAGATGCGGGTGAGTCACCCGGGATCCGGCCTCGAATAGAGGGAACTTTTCTTTCCCCAAAGCGTCTGTAAATATGTCCTGCCCTGTCTTCACTCCGCAAATGGCGTGCATGTGGGCACGTGCACGCACACTCACACACACACACACACACACACGCACACACACACACACACACACAGCTTGCTCTTGTCTTGCTAAACATTAAAATAAGTTTATTTAATTTGGTTTGTATGTGGTTGATTCTTTGACATGTGTTTCTTACTGGTGCCTTGAAGGACCCAGTGAGCTGTTCTTGGGTAGAAGTGGAAGAAACAGGGGCACCCGGGTGTGACTCAGTCGGTTAGGCAGCTGGCTTCGGCTCAGGTCACGATCTCACGGTTCGTGAGTTCGAGCCCCGCGTCGGGCTCTGTGCTGACAGCTCAGAGCCTGGAGCCTGTTTCAGATTCTGTGTCTCCCTCTCCCTCTCTCTCTGCCCCTCCCCTGCTTGCATTCTGTCTCTCAAAAATGAATAAACGTTAAAAAAAAAATTTAAAAAAAAAAGAAGTAGAAGAAAGGGCTGTAGCATTAAACCTCCTCGGGGACCAAGAGGAGTGGGCAGAAGGGTAGGGGACAGAGGTCAGAGGTCAGCGGTCAAGAGGGCGGGGAGCAAGTGTCTTCCCTCAGCTAGACCACCCCGTAGGTCATTCACTTTGCTTGTTGCTTTGAAGGTCTGGCCTAGTGGGTCTCAATCCTGGCATGACAATTACCTGAGGAAATTTCTAGAAACACTGATGGCCGGGGCCTGAGCCAGAGATTCTGACGAAATTGGTCTGAATGAGCCTGGACACAGGTATTTTTAGAAGTTCTTGAGTGATTCTGTTTTTTACTGTGGTTAAATATATATAACACTGAATTTGCCACTCTAACCACTTTTAAGTCTATAGTTCAGTGACATTAAGTCACTGTTGTCCAACCGTCCCTACCGTCCGTCTCCAGAACTTTCTCACCTTCCCAAACGGAAACTCTGAGCCCATTAAACAATAACCCCCCATCTTCTCACCTCAGCCCCTGGCACAACCATTCTACCTCCTGTCTCTGAACGTGACGACTCTAGGTACATTAATTATATCAGCGGAATCACGGTATTTGTCTTTTGGTGACTGGCTTACCTCGCTCAGCATAATGTCCTCAAGGTTCATCCATGTTGCAGCATGTACTAGAATTTCATTCATTCTTTTTTGTTTATTTTTGAGAGAGAGAGAGAGCACGAGAGAGCAGGGGAGGAACAGAGAGATAGGGAGACACAGAATCCAAAGCAGGCTCCAGGCTCTGAGCCCTCAGCACAGAGCCCGACGTGGGGCTCGAACTCACGGACCGTGAGATCATGACCTGAGCCGAAGTTGGACACTGAACCGACTGAGCCACCCGGGTGCCCCAAATTTCATTCTTTCTTATGACAGAATATTCCATTGGACGGCTATTTTTTCGATCCATTCATCGGTTGATGGACGCCTGGGTTGCTTCCCCATTTTAGCCACTGTCGAATCACGCTGTGTCAGCATGGCGGCATGAAGGGGTCTGCTTGGGTCTCTGTTTTCAATTCTTTGGATAGATGCTTAGGAGAACGGCTGGATCACATGATCATTCTGTTTAACCAAGCTGAGGAATGGCCAAGCTGTTCTCCGAAACTGCACCATTTTATATTCCCACCCACCAAGCACAAGGGTTCCAATTTATCCACATCCTTGCCAACACCTACTTTCTACTTTTTTGATAATTGCCATCCTAACCGGTATGGGGTGGTAGCTAGGGTGGTTTTAATTTGCATTTTTGTTTTGTTTTTATTTTTGAGAGAGAGAGCACGCAAGCACATGTGAGTGGGAGGAAGGGGCAAAGAGAGAATCTCATGTAGGCTCTACACTCAACACAGAGCCCCACCCGGGGCTTGATCTCACAACCATGAGATCATGACCTGAGCCGAAATCGATGTCCTGGGTGGACGCTTAACCAACAGAGCCACCCAGGTGCCCTCCTTTTCAACTCAAGTGACATGGGTGCCCTGACTTCAGAGAGAAGT